GGAACTAGATGATCTTTAAGATCCCTTCCACTCCAAACCATTCTATGTTTCATAACAGCAGACATTCTCACTAATACTTCCTGTAACCTTTTTTATTGATACCTTAATTTTTACTGCCAACACTAACTAGAGGAAAAACAGCTGCTAACAATTGGGTTCATCTTTAAAGAAAGAAAAAAAAAAAAAAGAAGGGAGGAAGGGGAATAAGTAAAATCAGTTACAGAAAAATCTCCCATACACTTTCGAAGAAGCTCCAAATGGCTCCACAGGATTTCTCCCCGTGGCACGCGCTGGAAGAAGTCTTCTTGACTGAGGCTGCAGAGCTCCCGCCCGGGAATGCTGAGCGCATTGAGGTCAATGTCAGTCATGCTGAACTCCTTCATCACCCATACCACCCAGTGGAGGACCTGATCTGTCGACCACTGCACTGGGTCTGGAAAAAGAGAGACAAAATTATCTCCTTATGTACTCATTATACACTGCAAGGTTCCTCCTCAATTATATAGTAACTTCCATAAAAGTAAACATCAAGAAGCACAGTTACCATGACCAAATCTGACTGGATGGTAAGCTGACTCCTCTTAAAATGCTGATGGAATGGTTTGGCTTGGTGGGGAGATGGAAAGGGCAAAAAAGGGATTTTTCTTCAGCAAAAGTTTTTACATTAGAATTATGCCTGACTTTTCTCAAACAGAAAAAAAATTTATTTTTCTTTTTCTATAGGTCTTTAGTTTCAAAAAAAGACTAGTCTCCCCCACACAAGGATACTATTCCTCAAATATGTTGATCAGCATGTGATTATAGCACAATATTACATTCTAAACTAATTCACATTATCGCAGTTTCTAAACTATCAAAAATCACCATCGTACTGGGTTTGGCTGGGATGGAGTTAATTTTCTTCATAGAAGCCCATATAGTGTTATGTTTTAGGTTGGTGACCAAACCAGTGTTGATAACACACTGCGATGTTTTAGCTACTTGTCATGGTTCAGCCCCAGCCAGCAGCTGAGCACCATGCAGCCACTCGCTCACTCCTTCCCGCCCCCCGTGGGATGGGGAGGAGAATCTGAAGAAAAAGGTAAAACTTGTGGGTTGGGATAAGGACAGTAAAGGAAGAGGGAAATAACAAGAACAGTACTTATAAAAGAACACACAAAGCCGTTGATACACAATGCAATTTGCTCACCAACTGGAACCCCATGCCCAGCCCCTCCTGAAGTAATGACTACTCCTCCCCAGCCAGCTCCCCCCCTCCTTATATACTGAGCATGATGTCATATGGTATGGAATACTCCTCTGGCTAGTTTGGGTCAGCTGTCCTGGCTGTGTCCCCTCCCAGCTTCTTGTGAAAATTAACTCTATCTCAGCCGAAAACAGGGACACTACTGCAGAGCAGTACTTGCACAGAGTCAAGGTGTGACTGACTAAAGCCCTAGGGGTGGGGGTGACTCCCAAATAAACCCCTACAATGGAATAAGGCTCAGAGGAGATGGGCAAGGGCAAAGTGTCCATGCAGCTCAGAGAATAATGCAAAGAAGTTTACTTTATCTCAACAAAAAGGAGACTGGAGGGTGGCCTTTGTTACAGATAAACAAGCTATCAACAGCTGAGTGGATCGGTTGGTGGTGTAACTGTCTCCCTGAGTCAGCCAGACCACGAACATGTTGCTCAGCCCAACACAGACTACACAAACTGGACAACTAGCAAAAGAATTTCGAAGATAGCAACAGGCTCGAGCTGGTTTCAACCCATGTATTCCTTCCTGGTGACTGCGGACACCCAACACCACGATGGTGAGTGTACTATAGAGACCAGTAATGGGAATCACACTGGTATTGTGACTGTGGTATTGAACAGTGTATTGCAATTGCTGTATTTTTCTATGTTACCTTTGTATTGTGTGTTGAGTATAATTTTCTGCTAAATCAGAAATCCCACGTAACATCAACCATCTTCAAGTAAATTTCATATTAAAGATTACGCTCTCCATGCATGGAATATCTAAAAGAACCTGGTCAGAGAGTATTGGACTCCAACACAAGGCCTTCTCTGTTTCTCACTCGGCCAATCCAGCAAGTTGACAGGAGGTGCACAAGAAGCTGGGAGGGGACACAGCCAGGACAGCAGACCCAAAATGACTAAAGGGATATTCTATACCACATGACATCATCATCAGTAAAACTGAGGGGCAGTTTTTCCAGAGTAGCCCTTGCACGGAGACCATCTGGGCATTGGCCTGCTGGAGGTAAGTGACTGCTTATGCATCACCTTTTTTTTTTTTTTCCCCCTTCCTGTCTCTGTCTCTACTTTCCCCCCCCCCCTTCACTTATTAAATTATCTTTATCACAATTTTTTTTTAAACTCATTTTGGCCCTTTTGATTCATTCCCCCATGCCCCTGGAGGCGAACTGAGGAAGTGACTGGGTGGAGGCTTACCTGCCAGCTGGGGTTAAGCCACCACATGGGTGGGCTAATAAACATGCATGACATATATAAATATAAAACAGTAATTGTAATATGCCACATCTATAAAGACCATATTAAATAAACCATGAAACCAAGATTTGATACAACAGGACCCAATGCATACCTGTAGTTGAGTCAAACAAGCCACAGCATGAACTTTTGGGATGCTTGCTTGATATTTCAACAACACACAACATGCACATCATTTAAATGCCAAACACACAGAAGTATAGGCAACCCACACAGCAGAGGAACACATAGAAATGGCAATAAATAATCAACTCAAGATACGTGCAATACATGATTTGTTGGCTCAAGACATTTTAACATAACAAGTCTGTTGTTTCAAGCAGTATTAGTATGAACAAGCTAGAAAGGGGATGGGTAAATCTAACCATCATCTCAAAAACTTGGTTAATGTTGTATGCAATATATTAAAACATGTCAATGAGTACAAATTGGAAATGGAAACTAAAGCAGGGATATTTACACTTTCAGTGTTTCAAGGGCAAAACACAGGAGCAGAACAATTAGGTATTTTTAAATTACAATACTCCAAACAGATGTCACCTTGATAAGTTTTTATTTTAAGAATTAAAGAAAGCAAAGGTTTCTAAGTCTATAAGCATTATCTAGAGCCATAAATTCTGTTTTGCTTAATAAAGGACAGTAACAATGCATAATTTTTCACTGATACTACCTAAAACCATGCAATATAATCCTTTGGGAAAAGCCACATCAAAAGGGTTTTGGTCTTCAACAAGTTACCAGCAGTGAATTTTCATCAAAAAGATGGTAATTTGTTGACAAAGACACTGAACCATTACCTCTCTGGATTATGATTACTGACTGAACTTGACTTTTGATATCAACATACTCTGTCTTTTGAAAAGATTCAAGGAATAATTTCAGATAACTTCACAGAACCAAGCCTCACAACTCTTTCATGGAAATTGGTCTCATTTTCTTTTCTTTAAGATGTATATTTATAAATGTTGGGAAAAAAAGGGGGGGAAAAAAAGCTTTGTTTTGGGGGACTACATAAGAACATTCTTTATTCTCAGAAACTTTCAACTTATCATAACATAGAACTTAGTCGTGTTCCTACAACATCAACTCAGATAGCATTTAAAACTTTACTCTTTCTAGGAAGGCAGTTTAGCACATTTTTTTTTTTTTTATAAGAGAACACTATTATTCTTAATACAAAGATCTCTGCCATAATCAACTAGTATGATTTTCCTGGAAAATCTGCACTCCCATGACACAAAGACTTTTAAAGTCACAGTTATGGGTTACAGGGTTTTCTTAAAGCAGCAACATTATTAAAGTTTATTAACAACATTATTCAACATAATAACAACATGGCTTTAAGTAATTTTCTTCTTATATTAATAGAAGAGCATGCTGAAAAGTATCAGTCTGCTCCGGATAACACCTCACATTGTTTTTCAAACATTCTGCATTAAATCCCTGATTATCAACAGACATAGCATGATGAAAGCTATTTTGGAAGCGCTCGCCAATAACAACAACAAAAAGGCATGAAAACCCCATTGTTTTAGTTATCAAAATTACTTTCAAAATACTGGCAAGTTACATGTCCTGCATGACCTGTGACCTCACTGGAATTTTTAGACACTCCCAAATATATTCCAATTTTGCAGGTCTCCTTAGACACGACAGTTTCATGTGCTGAATATGCCTTGACAGTACATTTCTGCAAGTCATGACAAGCAACTCAGCTGGATAATCTCCTGAATGTGATATAGGTCTAAATCCGAGTTTCAGATCAATCCAAGCAAGTATTCAGAGATGCTTTTTCTGAGCTAACATTAAATTAGCAGCCTGATAAGTGACAACATGAATTCAAAAGAATTATCTAGCAGAATACTTATCTTTAGTTCTGAATCATCTTTTTTCCACTACGTTGAAGCCAAGTATGGCTTTCCATGCAAAATCTGACTTTACACCATATTCAGCATCCCACAACCTATGAACAATTTGTTTCAGTACCTGTAGAGTCAACCCCCATCAAGAATTGAGTCTAATTCAAATTCAGACACACATGAAAGAGAGCTTTATCACTAACATACACATTTTTAAGGAGGAGAGGAAGAAGAAAACTGCTTTCTAAAAAAGTGCAAGACAAGAAGGTTCTGGAGCAAAGAGCACTATTTTAATAAAACTATTAGAAGTTGATTCTACTTCTCTTTAGCCTTCTCTTATGCAGAGGTACTTGTATTATACTTACCCACACCATAAGAAGCCTTCTCCAAGGTATTGGAGCACTTTAATCATAATTTATTAAAAACAAAACAACCCTCAAATGAACAAAATAACCAGCCCCCACCTCAACACGTGCACACACACACACACACACAGAGTCACGTGTTACTACCATAGGGTATTCCAAGGCGCTCCTGCTCCTTTCGGTAGCCTTCCAATGCTGCAGCCCATCGTGTCACTTGTTCAGAGGTCTCATCTGAAATTGTTGTAATATGTTTTGTTCCATCCAAGGTTATCACTTGAGCTTCCTCAACAAGGTGAGCTTCAGCCTCTGCATGATGAGCATCTGGATCAATCACTACCTCCACAGTCTCCACAGGCTTCACAATTTCAAGGATGTTTAACTTAGGCTCTATCCCTAGGTATAGGAAGAACAAACACAAAACTTAAAGATAGCAGTTCAAATATGACAAAAACATTGTTTTAAAGCTTTCTGATTAATAGATGTTAGCATACTTAGGAAAGAAGCATGACTCAAAAGCATCATCAAATTTCTGCAAGTGTCCTAAATTAGAATTACATATTCTATTATACAGTAATGTGAATACAAAGCTGTCCCCCTTTCCTCCCCCAGTATTACAGCTTCCTGTTCTATTTAGGTGATCCATTTCACATATCTTGAACAGAATGTTCAGCATGTGGGCATAAAGAACAAGTATTTTGGTCTGTAAGAAATATACTGAATCAAACAAAAAAAGCGAAACCCAAAAAACCAAAACAAGCATCCACCTCTTTCCCCCAACCAAGAGGCACTTCTTTCAGCCTTTACAATATTTCCCTGCTATTTCTGGATAGACACAGGAATTAACATTTTCTTTCAGTGCCCTGCAAGAGGAAGCGTGTTCAACAGCAAGTTAAAAGAAAACTATAAAATTCTTCATGTTTTGGTTTTACATCTGTCATTTAAGACATCAGTCCAAGGAGTTGGAAGGTATGTCTGCACCTATTCTGCAGCAATAAAGAACACATTCAGTAATGCTACTAATGCTTTGTATCATCGCCTTCTCTTTTTGTCCAACTGGTGCCTCACCAAATTTCTGACATTGTATAGATTTTTCTTGTCATTATAATATGCTAAATAGAAATTTTTTTTCCATTTTTTTGTGATGTATCATTTCCATGAGGCAGTGTGCTCCCCACCCCATCCCTTTAAGCCATAACCACCAGTGGTGGTTGTGATGGCTGCATCCAGCTTACACTGGACTTTGGGGGACAGATGATAACATGGTAGCCAAGAGCTGTCTAGAACAGTGACCCCCACATCTTGCTGGTATGTAAATATGACTCTAAGTCAATCACCTTACTCTATAAATATTGGACAGCCCAGAGCCCATTGAGCTCTCCTACACAGCAGCAGGCTGCAGGCCAGGATCTCCCCTTGAGTAGGAACGCCTCCCAAGGTTACTCTTTGAGGTTGAGAGATCCTTTGCCTCAACAGATTCTCAGTAAGTGACTAATAGCTAAACTTTGAAATCTTAGCTAAGTGATATAAAGGATTGATTGCTCATATGTAATCCTTTAGACATAAACCGTTGATCAAGTCTGGGACTAGGATTGGATCCAGCCGCACCTAGGCTTCTCTCTGTGAAGGAGTTTAGAAAGCAAGGGGGTCCTTTCTGAACCTCATGACTCAACATGAGGGTTTCCCTGACAAGTTTGCCTGACCCTGTCCTCTATGCAGTAAATAATCCAGTGTACCCTGCCATTGAATCTTGTTAAACCACTGTCGCATTTATTATCAAACTTCATCAAATTGCTGTTTTATATTAATAAACATATTGTTGCTTCTCTCTTGCGAGTCAAGTGCACGACTCCATCTGCGACACCATTATAACAACAACTAACAACCACGCTTCTTTAATAGATTTTTATCAAACATATTTGAACATTAAAAAAAAGCATCTGTAAAAATCCATTTTAGTATGACTTGGAAAACCTTGACTAGGGTTAGGCAGTTGAAAGTAGAATTCACAGAACATTACACGGCCAGCATAACTTCAGTATCTTGTGCTGTAATGTACTGCTTTTTGTCCCTCCTGTCTAATCTATACTAAAGCTCAACGTGAGATGGTAGGTTCTGTAGGTGACAGTCTTAAAAGCTAAAACCACAACCTATTCACAATTTAAAAGGGAGAACAAATGGAGTACTTACCTGTAGTACAAGTAAGAACAAACCAAGTCCTTTTCAGACAAGTATTCCTCTAGACTTTAAAAGGAATTCAGCTTGAGAAAAAGATTAGAAAGGGAACACTACAAAGACTGTAAGTACAACATGCAGCAATATGAAATTAAGGAAGTGAAAACAGATGTAGACAACCAGTAAGTGGTTGATTAGATGAAGAAGCAAACATGAAGAAAAAGCAAACAAGAACCTTACTTAGGAGAGTGTTTTATTTAGGCCATCTAAGATTAACATTTGTAGCACAGGCTTGTTTTAAAGTCAGACAGAGATGGGTAAAGGAAAGCACTAAGGGTTAAGATTCTGGTTTTGATCCTCAAAAAAGAAAGTAAAGAAAAAGCTTCTAGAGAGGAACAGTTCACTATTGCTCAACAAAATAGTTCACTGTCACTAACTACATGTCAAAAGAACTGTGAATCTATTGCTTTATCCATAATGCAAACATGGAGATCAAAGTGATGAGTCTCTGTAGAGGAATCTGCTTATAAGTAAAAATGTTGTGAAATAACAGTCTGCCACCAAACCTACTGCAACATTAGATCAACATTAATTCACTGGGTTTGTCTGCATCTTTTCTCACATCTCTCCCTTTACCTACTGCATAAGAAAACACATGTCCAGTCTTCCTTGGACAGCATTTAAGTTGTGTAACACAATGTGACGATGTCACGCACCCCAGAAGTATAAACTGGTACAAAAAGTAGAAAAATTCAAGGACATTAGCTATCAAGACATGTGCACATGTTGCCAGTACAAGCCCCTTCACTGCTAATTATCTGAAGCTAGAGAATATACCAGGATTAAGACTGACCTACAAGCAACCTATTTTGGTTTTTTTGGTTTTTTTTTCCTTGAAATGTCTAGTATTAACCACTGCCAGAGACAGGACATTAGTCAAACTGCACCTTTAATCTAAATCAATATGTTTCATTACACTTACAAGTCATTCCTTTACATACTAAAAATAGTAAAAGCCTAGTTATGGCAAAAAAAAAAAAAAAGTTTAGAAACCACAGTCAAATGAGTAGTTAAACACTTAAAACAGGACTCAGACTTCGGCTACCTAAAATCCAAAAACCTTTTGTGCTTAACCACCACTTAGTCCCAAAAATCTGCGTAAGTATCTATAGTACAGCTACACACACATACTCAGAAATTCTCAAAGCAGCTAGACACTAACCTCTTATGTCAGTCAAATGTTTAAAGAGTACATGGAACAGCATCTATCTGGGAAAATGTTAATTTTGCAGGTGTGCTTTGGGCGTGCAGAACAGATGGAACTGAGCTCAACACAAACAGCAGCTACAGACACTTTCATGCACAAACATGGCCTTGAGTAGTTTAAGTTTCTGTATGTGGTACGTGAACAACTTGAATGGCAGGTTAACGGGACTACCTGTTCATATATTTTGCAAACAACAAGAAATAAAAAGCAAAACTGCATTGTCCACCTCCATAATATAGGTTTCCCTCCTCCTATTGCTCCAACCAACGACTGTCAGAGATCGCTGCTCTCATTCTAGCCCTTTCAATCTAGTATCTCTGTCTCCCACAGCTCATCTGAAAAAAAGTCTGGCAAGTACTTCCATTCAACCTTGCTTCTATTCTGGTGGTTAAGGAAGTAGAAAAAGAAAGAAAAGATTCCTTCAGGTGGAAAGCTGACAGCCACAACTTCCACCTCTGAAGTTTTCCCAAAAAAAGATTAACCTATGCCACACATGCAGCACTGGAATTTACAACCTGAAAAGTTTATATTCCCCCTATCCATTTTGTCTCTTAAAAAAACCCCCAAACTTGAGCAACTAAAGGTAGGACCAGAATCAATTTTATCGTATCTCAAAAAACCCCCCACCTATCAACAGCTTAAGGATGGCAAAATGTTAATCTGATATTATCCATAGTCAGACAGGCAGGAGACAGCCTTGACCAGATGTAACTTGAGTCTGAAATTAAAAAAAAAAAAAAAAAAAAAGAAATTTGCTATGGAGGTCTTCAGAATTAAAGCTTTTTTCAAATTCTTTGACATATGATGCAATGCAGTTACTCAGATCTCCACAGACTTGCAAGAGGCTTAGCTCAGAACAGAGCTGCACTCAAAATAGCTGTTCTCACAATGACAGGAAAACCATATACATCTCCATTCTTCAAACCAGAAGAAAGGAGTTAAGGCAAGATGTAGTGACAGAATGGTCTTTCTAGTAAAAGGAATAAACAGGACTGATATTTTATCTGCTGTAACTTGTATTAAAATACTTTTGTATGAAATGCTATAAAAGAACTACAATGGACTATATTTCGGTTGGCTTTTATTCCTTTGAATTTATAGGGGGCATATCAAAATTTCATAGAACACTTGAACTGACATAATAGCGTGTCTCTTAAGAAATAAGAGAGTCTAATCCATTACAAAGATTAGCATCACTGTGTACTGCTAGCTGAATTTTATATATTATACAAGTTGGGGAAAAAATAAAAATAAACAAACTCAGAATCTTTCTATACTTCATCCATAAAACAGAAATATGCAGATGACATAAGAAGCTGTTTTTTCCCCTCGGCTTAAAGGGTCACTGCAGTCAGAGTAACAAGTCCATTTCCCTGTTAGTGATCCTAATATCTTCCTTTTATGATTTCTATCCATGCTATTTGCTTTCTGATATTCTGTCCTGCCATAATTTACTTGCCTTCAACAGACTGATTTCTTATGAGTTGCTTCAGTGTCAAGTATCATGGCCTGAAAAACAACACTGAGGATCAGCCCAAAGTTATACCAACGTACTTAATACTCAGGTGTTTCTTTTAAAGGCAAGGGGAAGGAGAAAAAAAAAAAATCTCCTTCTGCTATATAGTCATGCACCTCAGTTTTACACTGAAGAAGAAAACGGAACATAATAGTGAAGATATTTATCACCTGCATCCTTTTGAAACTGGAAGTCTGAGTACTGCATACCACAAGTTACTGGGCATGAATTAAGAGTAGTTACTCTAGTTCCCTGAAGGATATTGCTATTCAATTTTTAAAACCAGAAAGGTAGTTCAATCCACATTACATACAGGGAACTGAGGATTCTACCTAGCACTAGTCACCTGACAATCAGCATTAAATTCGACAGTCTTACTTGATACTGTTAATACAAACCACAAAGGCTTTCTTCTGTCTAATCTACGCTGAAGCCGGAAGAAAACAAAATGTCCTCCCTACATTTTGCTAGCCTGCTTTGCTGACATAACTCAAAACAGATAATCGAAGATACTCTACTCCAGGAGGAATTTGTTGCTACTGTTTACTTGAAGATATGGCAACAAACATCTGTAGCTGTTCTCAGAGGTCAACGTCAGCATTGTCTTCAGTGAGTGGTGGCAGTCCTTCCACTCAAGACATATGGATGGGGCAAAGGAGAAGAATAGGACAACAAGCAAAACAAGGAAGCTACTAATTCCTGAGGATTTGACAAGAGGAAATCCTGTCATAGCTTACACTACAAGCAAATAAAAACTATGCATCAACAAATCCCTACCCACTTGGTTAATACTCCTCTGTGACAACAGTTTACTCTGAATTCTCATCCAAAGAAAACAGACAATAGATAGCAATCCCAGCCTTTCATACCAATTTTCAGTTAGTTACACATACTCCCATAATCTAAATGTTTATAAAGCACACTCACTTCACAAAGATGAAATTGTTTCCTACCTAGACAAAAATCTTTTGCCTGCTTAGATACTTGGCCTGGTATGAGTAACTACTCACCCTTAATGAATGCCTCATACTGTAACTGTCAGTATTTGACCCAGGTTTGTTTGGTTTGGGTTTTTTTAACTTAGAAATTGATATGAAGTTACCTTAAAAGACATTTCAAATAGCATCAATCCATGACATTTATTTTAATTATTTCTACTTATAACCACAGTACACAATGAAAGAGATATTCTGAAGTTATGTGACCATTCAATGATTTTCTCAATTTTACAGCTAGAAATAGCAGTGGATTAGGTTTGCTCACATGCACTTGTACAGTATTAACTTGTCTGTACAACAGACAAACATAACTGCTTACCTTGCCTAGATATTACTTGCACACTGAGTTGCACTGTTCCATCTGTTTTTACTCCTTGATCAAACAGGCTTCGATCTGGGTCCAGCTTGATAAAAGAAGAAAAAAAAAATTAAAAATATGTATTAGTCTCACAGTTACAAGAAACTTATTCTCCTTTAGAGACATTTAGCATCTGCAGCAAATTTTCTGCAGAAGCATGCAAATATTTCAGTACTATGTCGACATAGTACACGACAGAAAGAACTTGATTGGAATTTGAAACTTGCTGTTCTGTTCTAGGTAGTTTCACTTACAGGGACATTTTTTAACCTAAAAAGGCAATGCAATACCTGGAAGTACCTTTGTGAAAGGTATCTACAATTCCTTTTCTCAGTTTTTAACACCTTCATAAAAACTCTTGCCTTTAAAGCAGTATTCTCCCTGTTGTTTCTGGAGAAGCCACAGGTATCTGATTGTAACTACAAATAAAACATCCAGCTAAGCACAATGTGAAACAGTTATACTGTCTAACATGTGGTGATGCTTGTAAAAATAACATGTGTCTAGAACTTTCCTGAGTAATTTTTTTGTGATCTATGCACCTGAACAGTATAAAAACCTTCTCGCTTTGTTCAGATTCAAAACAAGACTCTACTCATAGAGGTTCAGGCAGCAACTAAATGTTGTGGGCTACCTCAAGTGAAGACAGTATTGTCCTTGCCCTCATTCTTCTTCCACTTGCAAGATGTTTTTGGGGTTTTTTTGCTTTCTTACCCTTACCTCAGGAACCCTGAAAGTATTTTGATTTTATTCACACTGAATTAGTGTGTACACATTAAATGGTCTGACGATAACGAACCTGACATAAAATTGAACTCTTAATTACAATTAATATAGCAAATGAAGCATGAATTCCAAGAACAATAGAAGAAAGGGTTAAAATAGGTAAAATGGTTCTCCATTAAGAGGTTACATCTCTCATAAACCTTCAATTTACCGGGATATCTTGCAGGCAAATTTCATGTGCATCCAAGGAACACTGCAGTCTGGGTTCCAGCAACTTCTTAAGATTTCCAATGGGTTCATTGATGTCAATAGCTTGACTCACAAATTCTGCTGTGGTGTAGGTTTGCTCAACGATGCTTAAATACCAAATTAATACAACATATCATTATCTACATGTTAATACAGCTTGTGCAATACAGTATGCATATTTTTTAAAAAAAGTTAGAAGTAAGCTGACTAAAAGGTAATACTGACTCTGAAATCTTAACACCGTGGAGAAAAACTCCTAGCTTGAGTAGAGAATGAATTACTAAATTTCGTCCTGTTAATTTTACAGGACGAATTTATGTAACTTCTTTTTCCCTGTTGCAGTTAAAAAGCTAGGTTAAATACCAAGATTATTTTCAGATTACATCATGATTAGTACATTATATATTATTAATGTGCAGGCAGAGTAAACTAGCTCTATTTGCCTTGCCTAGACTGTATTTAAAAGATATTCAAGTTAAAAACAAACACAGAAACTTAACAGATAGGGAACAAAGAAGGAAAAAAATCCACTCTCATATAGAGGGATTGTCCATGTCTTTTAACCAGTCAGCACAAAGATAAGCTTAACGCATACAAGACACAATCAGAAGGAACTACAGCAACGTGGAGTCTTGAAGGAAACATTAGTCACATGCCATGGTTGTCCTGCACTAAAATGATGACAGTATTGGTGTAGGCATTCAGAAACATCAATGTAACTCATACCTTAACAATGACCTTAGACAGGTGGTCTCTCTACATTTACACAGAAGGAAATCAGAAAGTATACAGACATAGTCAGTTTGTAAGTAGTAAAAATACACGAGGAGCTCAGAATAAGACAACACTTAGTGGTTTTGAATCAGTTCTCCAAAACGAGTTCTTAAAGAGCAGGTCACCTACCAGCCTCAGTTATTTCTATCCAACACATTAACTGTCTCTCAGTGCTTTCAAAAACAGTTGTAAAAATTAGGAGGGAAGCATTAGGAATAAAAACAGGTTGAGGGAATTAAGTCAAGGGATATCACACTTCAGGATCTACAGTTTCAATGGCCCTAACGACAATAGTCAATAGACACAGAACATAATTTCTGCTCTGTTAAAAACAAATGCTCCTGTATAACAGTAAAGGAATGGACTGGAGAAACTGAAAGGTTCACCTCAATTACAGAAGGATACACTGAAGCTGAAAGGTTTGCAGCGTGTACATGTAGACATATTCCTACAGGCATGGAAGTAGGGGAACGAGAACTACTAAGAATGTAGCAAAAGATACATAAAACGGTTTGGGATTTAAGCAATTAAGATTGAAGAATATGATAGCGCTATACTGGTTTACTATATCAGCTACAGTTGTACTTCAAGAAAACCACCCTTTAATTAGATTCAAAGCAGAAAAACTGAAGAGAACACAAGCAAAGCTAAGAACTTCATATCCAGCAATTAAGCCGAAAAACTGGAAACAATCAACTGCAGGATTATGGAGATCGTACTGAGCCAGTTACTTCTGCCAGTTTAACGTTACTTCTTTTTGCCCAGCTAGGAAACACTTGTACTTATTTCATAAGCATGGCCATCTCTGAAACATTACGCAATAATAAATCTGAATAACGTGTGTGCAGCCACAAATCTGAAACCAATTAAAGAAAATATATAAATAAATGAACGAATTGCAGCCTAAGGACCCCAAAAAGCAAAGACAGTACATACCTTTCTTCAGTGCACTCCTGTTTCTCAGTTCCATCAATTTCTATTTCTATCAGCTCCTCTGCCTCTCTCTTAGTCATGGCTAAAATGTCTTAAGAACAGAGCTATGAACAGAAAAGAATTTTTTGTAAGTTACAAACAAAACTAGATGACGGGTTGTGTCCTATCAAACATCTTTTAAACTAAATACCAGGGTAGCCTTTTAAAGACAGGAATTTACTTTAAAAATAAAGCCAAAAGCTAATATAGATTTCACAAAACAGATGACAATACCTGTTCATCAAACAAACATTCCAGAAGGAAATCCAGGACTATGAATGGACATTAGCACAGAGCCCAAAGCCTGATTTTCTTGGAGGCATCCAAATTTACTGAATGTTTTTGTTATGGGCCAGCTACAGCTTTTAGTGGCCAGCTGCAAAGAACTTCTGAAAAGAATTTGAAAGTTATGCATATTTTGCTGTCTAGATTCAGCTACATACTACCTTCCTAGCAAGGCTGAAAGACATTGCTTATAAATTTAAGCAGCATTTTACATAAAATGCTGCAACTGGAAGCTAGACAGAAGATCCACGATTTCCTCATAGGTAAACAAACTCAACAGTAAAGTGTTTATTGACTGTCCCATCTTTCCATCCATCCATCCCTCTCATGGGCAATCACTTGATGATAGGTGCATAATGAATGCATCCTAAGGCAGTATGTTAGCAATTAAAAGGAAGACCGTTCTGTGACAATATGCTGATTGACAGTGCAGATTTTCATGCCCAGTAGAATACTGAAGTCTGTTGAAATGTAAGGGGGAAAGAAAGAACTACAGCATTTGGTCTGTAAAGCCACAGTGTATACAATATTATCATGTTTCACTAACCATCCCATACATCATAAGTATGAAATACATACAACATAGAACTGGGACAAGTTACAGTAACAGTTTATAATAAATAACACCACCAAGTTATAGGAAAAGGAGTAGGAAGTAGGAGTACAGAGGAGAAAATCACATTAGAAAAAGCAAAACATGCTACTATTTAAATATCCACAATAGAAGAGATTAGCAAGGTTTCCATCCTGGAATTATTCTTTCCCAGGGACTAGTCTATCCCAGACTCAACTGTTAATAAGTCAATATCTTAAAGATAATAAGGGAACTTATTAAACTTTAAAAAGTCTCAAAATGAACACTAACCAATTAAGTTGTACTGTTTTTAGAGAAAAGGTTTAAAGAAATTCAAACTGCTCATTTTATTATCTCCTTCAAAAACTACTACGTAAAATTACTTTTGAAGAAACCAAGTGCTGCACTTGATGTCAATCTGTAAGAAGCTGCCAGGGCTAGACAGCAAGTAAACAGCACCTTATCAATATCTCATCACTAGAGGCAAACCCAGAATCTGTTCTGCTCACCGATCTGGCGCTGTGAAAATCCCCTAATTGCCAGGGTAGGGTCCGCTGAACTGGGCCCTGGGATACAATTCCTGTATCACTTAATCTTGCATATCATCTGCACAATAAATGGAGAAGAATGAAACACCACTTCTGAAGAATGCAGACAAGCTTAATTAAATAACTGAAATAACTGACACCTGTATTGTTACAGGTGATTTGGTTAACTGTTAAAATATTTTTTGAAATTAAGTTTTGAGCCAAGTCCCTTACTGAAAACTCCCAAACAAGCTAACTGGTATCATAAAAAAGGGGGAAATTCTTTCCTGTATTAGCAATGAGATCAAAAACCCACTAAGTTGTCATTTTTTTTTTGTGAGGAAGGGAGTTTACCAGTAAGGTCACAAAAGGGGTTAGGCTAGGATTTCTGTTCCTTGATGTATTCCTAAGTTACTTATTGAGAAAACTGCAGACTTGCAGAAAGAACTTGCCACCTTGAATGATTTCTGGCAGAAAATATACAGTATTGGTAAATGTAAAAGTGATACACAGTGAGTAAATATTATAACAGCATAGTAACTGTATAGAATTAGGTAAGATATTTTGAAGTCCCTATGGATTGGACTCCCAATTGGCAGCTGGGCTAGTAACTGTTCACTCACTCTTCAAAGGTGCTTTGTGGTTGCATCTCACAGGCTCTTCCACATTTCTGGTTACCCTGGGGAGGTAGGAGAGGGGAGCACAGGCACAGACAGCAGGTACAGAAAGAGGGAAAAAAGATGGTTCCATTGAGCACGGATACAAGCAAGGGAGATGACGGGTGGAAAGAGGAAGAATAACATTATAACAAACATGTAAAGTCATTAACAGTTCAGAGAAACCTGATGGGGAAAATTATTCACTCTTTCCTACACTAGAATAGAGACTCTGATGGTATGAGCATTTCACATGAAGTCTAGCAAAATTTGTTGCTACAGGATGATGCAGAGATTGAAAGTGCACATAGGTTCAGATAGGACCAAGCTTCCTGAGCCTGCCGTGAAGGCTGCTGAGAAACAAGAACTCAAACAGCCTGGCTTGTTAGGAGGGTCAATGTGGCAGCAATACCACAACAGCAGCATTTGTCTGGAGGAACGTATAAAACCGTGCTTGATTTGTGGAAAGTACAGCATACTGATTTCTGCTTGGGTTTACTTTTCCTTCAATCTAAAAAGCCCTAAGACTTTTATCCAAGTTATCCAAGAAGGAATCTGACCACAATGCCTGACACAGACCTCCGCTAATGTTAAGAGAAGGCACTTGTTAACAGACCCCTTCTTCCCCTGCACCACAGCCCAGTGCTACTCCAGTATCTTTTACAGTTTGACTTTAGCATTTGGAGAGAAGTCCCATTGTTCTGTTAAGACCTATCTTTTCTTTTCCCTAGCACACAAGGAATTAAGCAAGTAACAAGCCCATCATGACATGGGCACAAACTCTACTACTAGAATACGTGTTTGTTATCCTACCAGGTAGTTGTGAAGTGGGGGTGACTGCTGGAGCCCATATGCATAATGAAGCCAAACCACTGGAGATACTTGTGCTCCCAAGCTCCGGTGTTCATGGAGCATTTGGTACTATCCATCCCTACTATTATTCAAACTGGTAAACCCCAACGCAAGCTAGGTAACAACGCAGACAACCAACCCATCTTTTACAGATCAGCTTTTGCAAGTCATCAGCCAGTTCGGATTTAAGACAAAGGCAGTGGACCACTAAACGAGGCAGAATCATGCCAGCTTTCGTGTTTGCTTTCATCAATAGTCAGAAAATAAATCCGAACCGGGAGAAGTGGTTGTGTAGCACGTATCTGACCGAACACCAGGAAGCGAACTATGTAAGATACCAAATACCCTCTTACGCTTTCACCTAAAGTAAGTTTTTACAAGTGGAGTAAGTTTACACGCCCCGGAGCAGCCTCACGGACCTCGGTCCGGGCTGCCTGACTCGCCCCCGGCCGCGGCGGCAGGAC